TAGTTAGCATTATTATATTTGAATTTTAAGACAGATCCCGATTCTTCAAAAATTGTAGGCATTTATTGACTGAATTGGTGTTAGGAAAAATAGAATTAAGTAAAGCACTTGTGTTTATATTCAGACGGGCCATTCAGCGTTGTTGCAATTCTCAGCGTTCTCCAAGGAAACACACTTCTGGAAACTATGTAAGTTAGGATTTAAAATTGTCAGAAGAAAGTACAATTTAATGATTTTCAAAATGCACTTCATTTTATGAGGCTGTTAATAGTCAATGTTTAGTCATTCTTTTCCAGCAATGGGGATGTTTTACCAAGTACATCAGACATCGTGGACATAGATTTTTACGACAAATTTCAAAAGAAAACCAGTGTCAATTGTGAGATAAAATTTCCTGTCATTAAGGTAAATGTTTCAAATATTTTGCTTTAATAATATAATATGTACGTTTTATATATAGCGCTTTCACATACGTCTCAGAGCGATTTTCGACATTATTACCCCAGTCATTGGAACGATGCCTATTGGGGAAATTTCATAGTTTGCCGCATCAATGTATTAGCGCATTTTGCACTCAAAACCTCCTCAGGTACCCATTTATACTCGTAGGTGGCGAGGAGCAATGCAGATATAAAGTGCCTTCTTAAGGACACACGCGAAATGCACAGCGACGAATTGAAACCCCGACCACAAGGTTGGGAAACCAAACAGTTCCCACTACGCCAAACCGCTTCCACAGAACGGGCAAAAGCACTTCGAAATCGGAGGAGTAACTAATAATAATTATTTTTTGAGTTTTATCTTTTAATTATAGGCCTATTATCTTAAAAAAATAAGGTTATTGATTCAGAAAGTTTAATTGGCTGTCGTGTCGGTTTGTTTTATTGATATAATTATTTAAAATTTATTAATTTTTGTTTTCTTTTTTTTAAACAAACTATTAAAGAACGTAACTACACAGAATAGTACTACTAGCGTGAATAAAATTCCAGTATGCCATTTTACACCAGATAATGACGCATCAGCGTAAGTAAATAGTGAATCTTAGATTGTTTTATGTTATAAAATACGAAGATTATATTGAAACAGATGTAAAATAAAATTACAACAAACACACATACGAAAATAGTGATCATATTCAACCATATCGACATATCTAACTTATAGCATATCATCTATAGTTTGTATGTGTTTTTTTAAAACAATGGATATAAACTCAGGACTGGAAACCGAAAATGATTTTTTTAATGTATTCCTTACTTATATCGTATACATATTAAAAAAATGTGTATTGATATTTTACAAGTATGTGGTCAACTGCGGGATGCGAGACAATCTATGATGACGACTTTCTTGTGAGTGGCGTGACGTGTAATTGCAATCACCTGACGTCATTTGTCATTCTAATGAAACCGAAGCAGGTATGAATTATTGCTTATTATAAAATAATAGTCTTATGTTTTGACATAACTTCCAGCTTTGTGTTGTTAATATCTAGCCTAATAACATGAACTTTAAAACAATATCATTATATTATAGATAGAAGAGAACATGATTTTGTCGGTGCTTACCAACTTTGGAGTTGCAATTTCAAGTGTTTTTCTTATCATCACTTTGATCATCATTTATGGTTTTAAGTAAGTTGGCATGTGTTGAGTAAAATAATGAATTACATTTATGTCATGTAAGTTTCAAAAAAACCTTTTGTCTATGTTTACACTAACAACACTGAATTGGAGATGCCTAAATCATAATTTTGGAACATGCATATCCAATATTGATATAATGTAACGATTTCATAAGCATATCAGTTTCAACAATACCTTTATCTCGATGTATAATAAAAGACTACCTGTACTTAACGAATTATTATCTGGATGAACCGGTTTTAATGGCTGCCCCTTTCCCACATTCACGATTTTTGCTACGACAGAGCACGATTTTTCAATTTTTAAAAATCGCAATGGCGTCGTCGTAAATGTCGTGGTCAAAACAATTCATCGTATTGCATCGTACTGGAACTTGATGTCATCGTGATGGAGCACGATTTTTTTTGGAATGTTAAAAAAAATCGTGCTCAATCGTAGCCGTGACAAACATCTTGGTCTACCGCAGCGGCATCGTGTTAGTTGTCGTCGTTTGTCGTGACTGTGTCTTGTCTATTCTTACTACCAACGAGACCTCGACAAGCCAAGACGTCGCTGCGGTGCTGAGACGTTTAGCTAAGATGCCACCAGCATCAAGACCGTGGTTTATATCACGTGGCTCTGTGTCACAAAAGTTTTTCAGCACACTGAACAATTCCTTGTTCACTTGGAGGAAGTTTCTGAAGCCTCTTGGGTCTTCTCTATTTAACTCTAATAGTAAGTGTTCATACTGTCTAAAATATGGACGACGTAAGAGCCATGGCTGTACCCATACACTTCGTTTAGGCCTATGCATTCGGTGTAACCGACGCTTACTCTTGATTATCAAAACTGTAGCAGCCAACAAATTTTCCTCTTCTTCTATAGCAGCAACTTGCAAATATTGATGGTGTTTCAACAGTGCGCTTTTTTATCATGTCATGTGATGTTTGTTTTTGTGATGTGCGTCTTGTTAAATCGTGCTATCGTCGTGCTTGCGTCTCTGTAAAATCGTAGTGACGTCGAATTAAAATTTTGTGAAGTCGTAGTACGTCGTCACAAATCGTAACTTTATCGTTATAATTCGTAAAAATGTCGTCGCACTATCGCATTAGTGCCGTAATACATCTTGACGGCGTCCTAGTAGCGTCTTGATGAAACGTAAAACTTGAATTTTTGAGTACGAATCATTACGATAGAGCGCGATTTTAAAACTTTTAAAAATCGTGCTCCATCGTAGCAAAATTCGTGAATGTGGGAAAGGGGCAGAGGGAAACTAGGGAGCTTCCGATTTGTGTGACGACGCGACGCTAGAACGGAATCACTCATGCGTGACCGTCCTACCTGGCGTCCTACGTTCTCTGCATACGTAGATTTGGCCAAATTGCGTTCCAGATGCAGAATCTACTTGACGAGGTGACCTTAACGTTCTCGCATGCGCAACTGACTTTTAGTGACGTCATTACGTTATACGTCCTACCGTCGTCGTGCAATCAAAAGCTCCCTAATGTGAGACTGGAAACAGGCTTGCACCAATATTAACGGATTCAGTATTATTTTGATTTTTACTTTAGAACTTTAAGAAACTCCGATCGGTACAGAAGCATGCGTCATCTAGTCATCGCTCTACTCAGCTCTAATTTCTTCTTTTCGTGCCTGAAAATTGATGTGAATAATATACCGGTAGTTTACGTCATTTTTTGTAACTCTCTAACATTTTAAAGAAAATCATAACTTCTACTAATACGGTAATGGTAACAGAAGTATTAAATATAAAAATTATAATAATAAATATTGTTAAAATAAATAACAGCTGTAAATACGCCCTTTTGTGATAATCGTATAAATTGTTCACAATGTTTAGATTTTGTTTTGTGATCGTTCTTCCTATTGTAAATTTATTTGTTTTTCCTCAAAATCTTGATGTTATTTCAGAGTATTTTTTTTAAATAAAAAAGGCATACAAACTGCTGCTCTTGCTAAGGGCGCCATGAGTATAGTAATTTAGTATCAAACTTATCTTCAGATCGCCTGTAGTTTTCTTGCGGGATGTCTGCACTTCAGTTTCCTGGCGGCTTTTTCGTGGATGTTGATCATATCAACGGACATATACATGAAGATTAAGTATCCGTTTGCTGATCATGAAAAACGATTCATGTACAGTCGGTATTGTGGCTGGATTGTACCATTAATTGCCGTCGGGGTGACTGTTGGTATAACAAGAGAGAACTATGCGTCTGATAAGTAAATTTATTGTTTATAGTTATTGCGATTCGTGTAAAAACGGCAATAAGCACACCTATAATTATATCGGAATACCAAGTTAAAAAAATAAAACTACTCCTCGCATAAAATGCGAATGTTGCTAGTAGGATTAAATGCAAATTTCCACAATGTACGTCAGTTACCGAATATTCATTTAATTACATTATTTAATTATAGTTAATATTTTTATCAATGCTCTTAAATCATATACGCCTTTAAAAAGTAAACTTGCTTCGCTTATCCTAAATTTTAATGACTTGAAAATGAACTCGTAATAGTCCTATTAAACCGAAAGGTCCACTGATTAATCTCAGATAAGAAAGTATAATACATACTCCAAGTATTGAAATACACGCCATCGTGTTGGGATTCAATATTTCGACATTAATTATGTCATCATCAGGAATAATAGTCCTATTAATAAGATTAAATTTGAATCTGATTGCAATTTTTTTATTGTTGAGGAATTAGATGGTCTTATCTATTAGGCCTATGTTCAGAATTCTGTAAATACAAATAACAAATCTGTTGCTAAAATTGTAATAAAATATCTCGAAGGTTCATACTTGATATTCTATGACCGACCATATATATATATTATATATATATATATTATATATATATATATATACAGTATATATATATATATTTATATATATACAGTATATATATTATTTATATATTTATGTATTTATATATATACAATATATATATACATAGGCATATATATATATATATATAGATAGATATATGTTATAATATGGATGAAATATGAATGTTATAAAAACTGTAGTAATATGTACATCTAACAATCTTTAGGAATTACGTTTTTGATCTAAAATGATAGCTAAGTTGTCAGTACTTACTCTGGGTCTCAGTCTGTCCACCATTGACTCCATGGTCCAACGTTAAGCACTTCCTATAGAACCCGAAACTACATTAAGCCGATCAGAAGACCCCCGTATTCATAAAATATGCTAAGCTGTTTAAAGGTGGCAGCAATTGAAAGTGTTGTTTATATATTCTTTTTTAGGTGCTGGTTGGATACTCATTCTGGTGCCATTTGGGCTTTTATTTTTCCAGTGTGCCTCACACTTCTTGTAAGTTGTACATATTTACCTGAATAAACATATTCACCAAAGTCAATACTATATGCCTATAAGCTGCAGCCGAAAAAAAGATATTTGGGAGATAAATTTGGTCTATCAAAGTTTTCAAATATGTAAGTAAATGAGTTCAAATATAAGTGATATAAAATCAAATTTTTATTAAGGCGTTTCCAGATTTGATCATAAACATAAATTTTGAGTAAATCTGACAGTTTGAACATTTCTCTTCGTAGATTGTCTTCATGCAGCTAGTAGTTGTTAGTTTCGTAGCGTTAAAAAAATCACAATTGCCAAACCAAACTGAAGACGAAATGCAAAAACTCAAACGAATCAGGTTAGAAACATTTTTAAAGATGATTTTATCATAAGACATAATCATTTGCGCACATAGTGTACGTCGGCACTGTGTACAATCTAAGAACGTGGAGAAGCGTTTAAATTTTCATTTTTGAACAACCACAGGGGATAATATTATGTGACTTTAAAAATTAAAAATTAGTTTTATCTCGTTTGCAAGGAATTTGTTTGGTGGTATATTGCTTCTCACGCCAGTAGTTGGACTTTCATGGATCTTCGGTGTCATCATCATATTTGACAATTCTGAGATAATGGAACACATATTTGTTATCTTAAATTCGACTCAAGGACTTCTCATCTGGCTCACGCAGTGCGTCTTTAGCAAAGAGGTGATTCAAAACTGTTTTTGACATTGATTCCAGAAAACATAAAATGTTATGTGACGTTCCTGTACGTTGTAAAGTTAGGTTAGGTTATGTTTGAAAATGACACAAAAGTGAAGCAATGCTATAAAATTACGTTATAAATACGTACGCCTAATTGTGTTTTTGGACACCAAACTGTACCGTAATTCCATTATGTACAATTACACACCATTTAAAAACAAATACTTTTTATTATATTGCAGGTTCGACAAACATTTAGGAAGAGATTGAGCAATCGAATTGGGCAAAATAGTAGCATCAATACTATAAATAATGACACAATATCAACGAGCATAACACCAGTAGCGTGACGAGCTAGCCGAGATATTTTCTCAACACAGAAAATTCAAAGGTCAACAGTGGGTGCACAGTGTTTGATTCATTGCTTACGCTCGTTTGTCACGGAAGGGGAGGGGTAATGGACCCACCACTCAGTCTTCCCCCCCACCCACCATTTACACCAATACTTGGGAGGTACATCATATGGCACAACCAGAGCACTTAAAGATGGGGTGTTCAGCCAGCCATCCACTTAGATAATATAGAATGCTCCGGAATGCTCTGGAATTCCAGGGTTCATGTATATAAGATGATAGGTTTTCCTATCTGGAACTATTTGGAGACACGTGTCACGTCCATTATTTAAACAATTTAATATGCTTACAATCTTTGATATAAATAAGGTACAGGCAGTATGTTTCATTTCTAGATATCATCTCAGGCAATTACCCGCTCCCTTATGCGAAATCCTTGATGGTAATACAAAAAGTGAACGTGCAAAAGCCCAAAGAAATTCAAACAAAATGTATGTACCTTTTTCAAGACTGACATCCTGTCACAGATCTATTTTTATTCACGGACCAAATATCTGGAATGAGCTATATGATAGCCTTTTAAAAATAAATTCGCAAAATTCGATCAAAAATAAATTGAAAGAGATGATTTTAAATACTTATTAAGGAAAACTTTTCTTGGGAGTGAGGCATTTCCCCTTCCTGGAGGTGCCGGCAATTGTGGGCGATCCCAAATTTAAAAATTAAAATGTTGATGTGTTTACTATGTATTCTGTGCGTGTATGTTTTGCATGTTGCGTATTCAAACTGACAAGCCACCGCTTCTTTTGGTGCCTATGTAAATAATTTGCAATTTGTAATTTGTTGTGGATTTTTTTCTGAATAAATGTAATTACTTCCTTAAAAAAAAAAAAATGTGAATGTTATTGTGTTATTTTGAGACCGGATTCTTGTTGGAGTTTATACAGAATAAAAGTTTATTTGAGAGTTGTGTGATTGTGAACTGTATGGATATGTTATATGTCAATGAGGGATTCCTAGTCATTTCTTTACCGCTCGGAAATACGTCATGTAGGAATTCATGACAAAAGGACTATAATTTACTACAGAATTCCTATAATGGACCTTTCCGCTAAGCTCCGCCCCTTGGATATTGTATCTAAGGTCCCACAAGTCAGCAGCGTTAAAACATACGCGAACACGTGCGTTTGTGGGACAACACGTGTGTCTGTAAGACGCGCGCGTATTCCTAGCGCTGTTCTGATTAGTCAGTTGTTAAGTTTGATTGACACTCCGGAAAGGTCTATTGTATGGCTTCAAAGGGTCTATTCATACAATCGACAGCTTTTTGACAGACGTGATAGAGGGTACGATATTCGGGAAAAGATTGAGAGGTGGGAAGGTAATTATGATTATGGATGAAATTCATAATTGAGGAAGTAGAAGATAGCCGAGGACCAAAGTACTGGAGAACTTACTTGAGGAAGCAACCTTCGACAGAACACTATGTTGATGATGATTGTTTGGATCAGATTTCAATTAGACCTACTACGTTTCAGTTTGTTTAAAATAAATCTTATAACAAAGCCGAAAAACTGAACATATTTTTAGTGTTTGTAGGCCTATTAAAGATTATTTATAATATATTTGTATTATTAAAGACGAATATATTGTATATACATTTGAGGGCTCGCATATTTCTTTCAATATAATAATAAAAGTGTGCTAAGTGATCAACAACAGACCTTCTCTGTAACTATACATAAATATATAATTTTTTTTTTTAGTTTCAAACATGACGAAAATCTACCTCAATTACCTTACAACCTATTATACAACCTACCTCACAACCTACCTCACAACTTACCTGACAACCTACCTGACACCCTTTCTCACAACCTACCTCACAACATACCCCACAACATACCCCACAACATAGCTGGCAACCTATCTCACAACTACATCACAACCTCAGAACACAGCTGACAACCTATCTCACAAAACTGTCCAAACCTATCTCACAACATACTTCACAACCTACCCCACAACTACCTCACAACCTATCTCACAACCTACCTCACAACATAGCTGTCAACTTACCTGACAGCCTATCTCACAATCTAACTCATAACTTTCCTGACAACCAGATAGCCTACCACCGTAGTAGATTGCAAATTCAGTTTTATATTTGAACAATAGAACATCGGACATATATTTAATTTATCTAGTAAATGTACATTGTAATTCCAGTTCAATTGCTGATGCTGATTACAAAATCGATATTTACTCAATATAATAATTTCGTTGAAAAATTAGAAAAACCTACATATACCAAAAAATCCTCAACTTAATTACTTTTGCTTGTGTTACCGGTACCATTTTAATATCATTCTTACTGTTTCTTTAATCTTTTTTTAATTTTTTTTTGTAAGAATTTCATTTAAATGACCTCTCGTTTTCTTGAGTATAAGCAACATAATTATGTATTTTGCATATAAGAAAGGAAGATTACATAGTTTGACGCCTTTTTCAGCTAATACTTGAAACGGAAGGAACAGTCAACAGTGCACTACTAAGAATCAACGATAGCGGAATATTAAGTTTTGATACCGTGGTTAGACTACCCTTAGAATACTAGAATTACTGGGTGTTTCGTGACGTCATCATAGAAATGTTAGTAGGGAAGTGTACACTTGCTTTATATGCTGCTGTTGCATTTTATTGTAATGCGTATCCTGGTAAGTTTCGGTTGGTCGTCAACACTCAATTCAATACTATCAATAGGCCTAATTGCTATTACTTAAAATGACATTGGGGCCCGATATCCTCTAATTATCACTGATTTTTGCAAGTAACAACATTTGCTGACGATAACAGTTTAAGAGGAGGCATATTTTGTTTAATGAAATATACAGTCTATGATTAGTAACAAAGAAATTTATTATTATTATTATTATTATTATTACTATTATTATTATTGGTACAAAAAGCTACTAGTCCTGGTGAAAGAGTGACCACTCGTCAGATAGCGCAAGTAGCAACTACTGAATATAGCAGTTTAAGAGGTAAGCATGTTTTTCTAATGACATATAACAAAGAGAACTATTATTATTATTATTATTATTATTATTATTATTATTATTATTAATATTATTATTATTATTATTATTATTATTATTATTATTATTATTATTACTAGTACTACTATTACTATTACTATTACTACTATTCTTGATAGTTACTGCTGTTGATAACGACGGGACAATGTTCAGGCGTCAGATCCTGCAAGTAACAATTTGGGAGGATTAATTTTGTTAATGAAATGTACAATCTATGATTAGTATAGAAAATTATTATTATAATAATTATAATTATAATAATAATAATAATAATAATAATAATAATAATAATAATAATAATGATAATAATAATAATAATAATAATAATAATAATAATAATGATAATTATTATTATTATTATTATTATTATTATTATTATTATTATTATTATCAAAAGATGGTATAATATTATGTGGAATTGTATCATAGAGATCGATAATTTTATTATTGTTTTTATTACACAACATGTTTCAGATTATAACTGTAGTGGTAGACTACCGGGTAAACGGTATGTCGATCCTGTGGATCCATCATTCTACTTCTCGTGTTTGGGCCCCGTTGCACTTGCCCAGCAATGCCCTTTCCATTTCTTCTTCAGTGAAGATATAGACAACTGTTACGACCCAAATTCTGTCCAAGAAGCTACTACTCCTGTTGACGACAGAGTGACCACTCGTCAGATAGCGCAAGTAACAACTACTGAATATAGCAGTTTAAGAAGTAAGCATGTTTTTCTAATGATATATAACAAAGAGAATTATTATTATTATTATTATTATTATTATTACTATTACTATTATTATTATTATTATTACTACTACTACTATTATTACTACTATTCTTGATGGTTAAAGGATAAATAAGTTTTTAAATAAAATACACAATCTATGATTAGTAACGGAAGTTATTATTATTATTATAATAATAATAATAATAATTATTATTATTATTATTATTATTATTACTATTATTATCAAAAGATGGTATAATATTATGTGGAATTGTATCATATGATCGATAATTTTATTATTGTTTTTATTACACAACATGTTTCAGATTATAACTGTAGTGGTAGACTACCGGGTAAACGGTATGTCGATCCTGTGGATCCATCATTCTGGCCCCGTTGCA